CCCCTTCTTGTCACCATTTTGCATGATCCATTCCATGATCTTCTGCCTATTTGCAAAGCTGCCCGCATCTATCATGCTGAATGGTGATATGTTCCTTCCTTTGCGATGATCATAGCTAAACTTTTCGATGTCTTTGTCATGGACTCCGGAATTCTGGCTTAGCGACGTTTATCTAGCGGTCGTGCCTTCGGGGGTGCTGGGACCGCAGCGCTTGCTTTCTGAGCAGCAGGGCTGGCAAGGCTGGCAACCTCAAACTTCTGACGGAACATGGACCTGACTGCAGCGAAGACTTTGCTGGAGCCGCTGCAGCCCTTTGAGATGGCAGCTTGGGCTTGGGGCATCTCAGCCGGAGTCACAACCTGGCGATGCGAACGGTACAGACACGCAGTGCCCTTACTAAAGACAGGCTACAATCGGCGCTGATCTTTCGAAAGCGTCTGATTCCGTAGACCGTGCATGGCAGCATAGTCACAACACCTTATGCAGGTGTTGCAATGCAAACAGCCTGCGTACAAGACGGTAACAGTAACTTGTCTATAGCATATCAGAACGGAGTGCAGCGCAATCATGCGGTAGCATGAAGTGTAGTATGTATGGCATTAGGTTCATAGACTTCATGGAGCTTCAATAATTTCGTAATAAGACCGTAGTATCAAACGGCTCCCTGTACGGAGCCACGAAGTGTGAGGACGGTTCCATTGCCTACAGTGCCAACAAACTGCCGAAATACAGTGTGATTTCAGCTGGCACTTCGAGGCAAGCGAACAGTACAAGTATGAATCTCATATTTCGATCAAAACGCGCGAACACACAATGCAACCGTTGATGTGCAAAACAAAAGACACCCGACGTGCTGCCGCGCTCCTGTTTGATGTCGAAGCTTGCAGGAAGCTTGGAGGGCTCTTTCAAACGGATGGAAATTCATGCCCAAACGTCCGAAACGGTTTAGGGTTTAGGGTTTAGGGTTTAGGGTTTAGGGTTTAGGGATAGATGCACACCGGCTGGGCCTCCCCGAGGCAGCTGAGGGCGATGAGCCCTACTTGGTTCAGCGCATTATAGCGGTTGATGTGGCACCTTGTACAAGGCTTGGCTTGGGGTATGAGTGCACAGGTCGGATTGCTGTTGCGGTAGCTGCGCAATACTGCATTAACATCCAATGCAATGGATCCTGTGATTGCGCTTGCTGCCAACACAGGCCGAAGCAGAAAAGTCAGCTGATGAAAGAAGCTTGCAAGCAGAGCGGTACTCAGAAGATGCAGCATTGAGGTGCCGGCTTGTGAAAGAGGATTCTCAGGAACTGTGCTGCCACGTCCACATAAACACTCTTCAGCTCGCGCGCCTTCCCAGCAAAGGCAAGGTTTGCATGATTCAGCAGGCCTTCTAAACCATGTCAAAGCGACATACAGAGTACGACAAGGGTGTCCTGGAACTGGGAGCGCTCGTTGCTGTCCAGGGACAAGTACCCGAGACGTTTGAATTGCACAGCCTGGACACCGCGGTAAAGAGTGGCTTCATAGATACGACCACACGATTTCTCGTGACAACAGCAACAACTTTTTTCGAGGGGCGGACTTTTCGTGCTGCAAAACAGGTACGTCTGCAGCTGAGGTATTACTCCCTTTTTCACACCTGAAGCTCCGGAGGCCAACCACACCTGCTGCCCCATCCTAGAGGATAACAGGTTTTCCGCATTACTCAGCGCGGGGGGTTACCTCTTTTCGAGGATAACACGCTCTCCGAGATGGACATCCGGGCGGTTACTTGGTGCTGGAGGATAAAACTCTAGGCAGGGGAGACACGAGGACAAACCTCACGGCAGGCACTAGTAGGCGTAAAGCGCCGGCGTTAGGCAGTAGAACGGCTTTGAGGGTAGAACCTCAGCCGGTGGCTACCTGAACACAACAACAATAACAACGACGACGACCACCACCAGCACCACCACAACGAAGAAGAAGAAGAACACGAATATAAATAAAAAAGAATGACAGCCACAACCACAACAACAACAACAACAACACCAACACCAACTCAAACACCAAAACACCAAAACACCAACACCACCAACACCACCAACACCACCAACACCACCAACACCACCACCAACAACACCAGCAACACCAACACCAACACCAACACCAACACCAACACCAGCAGCAGCAATGGACCTTGCGGTCTGTTAAACGAAAGCAACGCAAGAGCTCTCAATACGAAAGGCACATGCCTGGCCTCGACAGCCGCAGGGCCGGAGGCAGGAGCCATGCCGGTGAAGAGCTCAATCCTAACACGCGCGAAACCAAGAACAAAGCGAAAGCACAAGTAGGGCGCGGTAGACGCTAGAACATGATGTATACAAAACCGGGAGACAGGGCCTGGAGACATCACAAGCCACAGTTCACCTCCCGGCTCCGGCAACTCGGGCAGCGGCTTCGTAGCAATCTTGCTTTGATGAGAGAGAAATTGCACCTGTGCTACAAGGTGTCGCACAGCCAACAGCAGCTTAAGCAAAGCCTGCCGAAGATGGACGGCTGTGTCGAACTGAAGGCAGACCTGTCCGAGTTTGGGGGATTTGTTTGGCTTGGCGCAGGACCGTCACGAGGGCTCTACGGATAAGGGCCTGTGGTAACCGAAACCAGCACAAGTAGAAATTGAAACCAGGGTCAGAACAGAAACCACATCCAAGAAAACCAGGAAGAAAGACAGAGACTTTTGAGCATAAGCCCTTAGCAAGCAAACAACTAGCAATGTCCAAGGGCCATAACCATATTGCAAGCTTGAGACACATCCTGCAGACGTTTACCGTGAACCCTGCCGCCTTCAAGCCCTACACCTCAAAATCCACCCTAAACCTCAACAAATTTTCAGGGGTCTTGCTTTAGCAGAGCTGCTGAAGCCTGGCTTTCGCCGTGCTGTGGGCCTGGCTTCTACGTGGCGGTGCTGGTTTCCAGATCTGCGGAGGCTGATTTTCTGTTACTGTACGAGTTCGCTGTTGCTCGCGCCTGGTTTGCAAACGGATTTTCTGCCCGCTTCCACTGGCTTCAAGCCACTCCACATGGACGATCTCCCTAGAAACCGCCCTAGTTCGGCTGTTGCATTAACATGGGAGCCAAGCGCTCCTCGAAGCTCAAAAAGGTCACGAACCGCGAAGGGAAGGAGAGAAGCATTAATTGGCAACTTCAACGGCTATTCCGCCGTTCTGCGCTGATTCGAAGACTGCAGACATGACCTTGTGCACAGAGAGGGAGCGACGTGGCCAGTCTAAATCAGGCTTTCCACCGGCTTTGATGGCCTTGATGCAGCTAGCCAGATCATCGACCAGCATGTTCACCTTACTCTAACATGGATTTGAACAGTCTTTCTCACAGGGATGGATGGACTTGTCACCAAGTGGGGTTGAACTAGTGTTGTTGCAGGTTCGGTGCTAAACTGCCAACACATAGGCTGCACGGATCGGCAAGAGCCCGGCCCTGGACAAACCGAGTGCAGCAGATGCACGTGATCGCATGCTTCTACCTGCACGACTTGGTCCTTGCCCATCACATCGCCTTGGATGTACTCAGCACTGCCGACGAAAGGGACCTCGTACGCGGCGAAGTTGCCTGTCCTTTGCTGTCCACCCACAAGGTCGTCCACCCTCAAGGTGCCCTTCTCGCAGACGATCTCATACTGACTGCGGTGCGGCGAAGTGCACCCACAGTCGAAAACCGCAGATCTGTTGCCTGGGAACCACAAGGTACCCGCACACTGAACGATGGTGTCGACCTTGTTCAGGGTGACATGTGTACACATCACCTTCTCAGGCATCGTCCACCCAAACGCCCAGAGAATGGCAGAGAGCGGATACCAGCCTTGCTTCCACCAACCATAAGGCTCAAATCCATCTAAGCCCAACAACGTAATCGAATAGATGCACCTAGACATGTCACACCTATCCAACATATCTAAAAACATGTTCGAAGGGAGAGCGAGGGATGCACGTCTGTGTACTTGCCGACCTTTCTGTTCATTTGTCCTGCCTTGATCTCCCAGGCATCCCATCGGCTCCCGGGACTTGTCTGTCCTGCCGTTGCCGCCCTGGAGCCAGGCCTCATCCGGTGCCATGAACGTGAAGGAGGCCGAAACCCGAAGCACCTGTCGCGGGTGAGGGCAGGATGTTTGCAGGGGCTTCGGGCCTGTGAGTAATCATGTGCGAGGTGTTCGCGCGAGAAGCTCTGGACTCATATCCCGGCGATCAGTCTCTCCCCGAAAAGAATCTCGGGACCCACTTCGTTGCAATCAAGCTCAAACTCCCAACATCTTCTACTTGGAGGTCCGAGATGGAGACTCCCGAAGTTCCGTGGTGATGCACGTCTTTCGTTGCACAAGCTAGACACAGAGCGCCTGACCCAGCTCCCCACCCGACAGCTTCTTCTCGATCTCCTTGGTCCTGGAACGAGGGCTTTGGACTGTTCTTTGGCTTTGAGAGGTACTTTGGAGTCCAGCGTTCTCTCCTGAGTGAATGATACCACATTGTGCCATCCATCCATTGAAGGCCCTTCTCCTCACACAGCTTCAGAAGCTCGGAGAGCTCCGAAGCCGTTCCTCCCATTGGCTTCTCGGAGTAGATGTGCTTTCCTCGCGAGATTGCCTTTGCTATCTTCTCGTTCCGCAAGCCTGTTGGCAGCGGGATGTAGAGCACGTCCACATCGTCACGCTCCAGCATTTCGTCATAAAGCATGCCCACTCCACAATCGTGGGTCGTACAGAAGTCCTGAGCTTTTTGTCGATCGCGGGAGGCCACGCCGACGACCTCCATGCCATGCTTGAGGCCTGGAAGGACTTTGCCAACGATGGCCGCTGTGCTCAGAATGCCGATCTTCACCTTCTCAGACATCGCACCCAAGCAGCAAACGATGGCGGAGATAAAACAAGCAGATTGGTATTCTGAGCCACGCCGGAGGGCACCGTCACAAGAACTCAAACGAGCAAAGCATGCGTCCGCACGGAGAAATTCTGATCCAAACCAAGATCCCCCACGCAACGCACCCAATCGGGCCTCCAAAGCTTACAAAAAACCCTTCGGCCACGACTCAAAGGCTGCTTTGCAGGGAGCGGGCCGTGTCCGTTTTTTGGGGTGTGGGAAAGCCATGGATTGCATCTTGGTCTCAACTCAACCACCCGATCCTGAAACACGTTTCAGAGCTTGGGTTTGGATTGGTTCCGAGAGCGGGAGCTGCTAGAATTCTTTTTCAGGAGAGCAAGTTACGGGTAGGGGCGTCAACGACCACAACAGCAGTGACCCAATGGCCAAAGCCAAAACTCTTGGGGGCAAGGAGGTTTGAACCACAGTGTTGTTTGATGCTTGAGGTTTCGGGTCTCTAGTGTTTAGGGAGCTCCAGAATTATCCAAAAGTTCTGATCTGTCATGATTTGTCGGACACAGAGCAAACAAGTTGACATTGGGGCGAGCGGTTGATCGCTGCTCCGCGGCTGGCGGCGCCTCCTGGGGAAACTCGCAGAAGCGCGCTGTCTGCCATCCCTTCCTGAAAGTCAGTTCAGGGTCGGTGAATTCGGGCTTCGAGCTGTAATTTAGCTATTTGAAGGATAACTGCCCTGAGACTCACAAGAAGTACACTAGCAGCGGCTAGTCTTGTGACGTGTCCCAACAAGCGTTTCGCAAAGCATCCGGTACCATGGTTCGGCTGAGCAGCGTCTGCTGCGAATGGGAGAGCAGCTCAGTAACCTTGGCGTGTCGGATGTCTGCTTCGTCCGCCTAGGGTTCTGCAGGTTAGCTGCCGAGTCGGCTTTTCCAGTGCTGCCAGTAGTAGGGATGCGGATGGCTACTGCCAAAAAGTGCGGATGCGACGAGCTCTCAACTTCCGATGTCCTCTTTTAAACCACATCGCCTCGTGCATGCACAACCATCTCGTCGAACTCAGAATGCAAGAACATGCCTGCATAATAGATTTGCCGCCAACTCGTCACAGAGGCCAAAGCAACGGTACGAGGGCATGTCAGGCAAGGGAAACGGGGAAAGCCAAAAAAGGCAGCAGGAGCAGCAAGAGCTGGTACTGGTAGCCTAGTGGCCCTGGCACCTAGCGGCTGTGCCTTTGTGCTTTCATTAGGATGTAAAGAGCTGCTCAACAGGCCCCATCGATGTAGAGCTCTCATACCAAACGCCAGCTCTACGAAAGCTTGAGCAGCTCGAGGCCCTGGCAGGATAGTCGGGCTCCTGCTGGGATGGTACGATAATCCAATCACTTCGGTTTTCAAGCGTGGGTTTCGCACTTTCGGACTCCGAGCGGCTTTGGATGACAAGCAGTGCGAGCAGGTTGCAGCACAGCACATCTTATGCATCAGACATTAGAGGCATGAAGCTCGCTATGCCGCCTGATATGTTTGAATGATCACGCCCATATAGTGCGAATGATCCTTCCGCACGTTCACCTACGGAAACCTTGTT